TATCATGCACGGACAAAATTTTCAGGCACGGAATCAAAGAACTTTGAGATTGATCTTTTGTCCGAGAACGTTTCAGTGGCGGCGCTACGATCGATTATCTGACACGGAGAAATTATCTGACACGGAGAAATTTTTCTTGTATGTTTTGTATGGAAGGTCAAATCCGCGCGAACGTACCAAAGTCGGAAATCGCAAAAATTTGCACAATGACCTAGGGGTACTTCGAATTAATTCGAGAAGGGGTACGAGTTTGCTATTCATGAGTGAGAGCTGTATACCCTATTAAGTTTTTTTCGACGATTTAGGATAAAACTAAAGGAAAGTCAAAAATAGATATGTCAGAAGTCACAGCTTCATTCCCATTACCGCCAGCTCATTACGTGAAACTTTTTACAAATGATAATGTGTCGAAAAATCTTACTCCAAAACCTCCATCGGTCAGTTTAATCGAAAGTTATTCAATGTTTGGGTAAATAAAGTCGTATTTAGATAGGTAGATTGACTACTAAATTAAATTTATTTCAATTCCAGAAATAACTTCACAAATGATGATACTATCATAAGACCACTCGAAAGTCAACAGATAAGACGGTTATATCCTCAACATTTCGATCGTAAAAAAGAGTTGAAGAAACTCAACTATTCCTTGCTTGTTAATGTTCTAGACATTCTTGATATTCTTATAAATGCACCAGAATCATCAAAACGAACCGAAAAAATCGATGATCTTACTTTACTCTTCGTTCATATCCATCATCTTCTTAACGAATATCGTCCACATCAAGCGAGAGAAACACTTCGTGTTATGTTAGAACTTCAAAAGAGGCAACGAATTGAGACTGCTAAAAGGTAAATAATCTCCATACGAAATAATTATTTCTCTATTCGCTTGTTTTCATAATTTTGCAGATTTAATTATCATCTTGAAAAAGTGAGGGATATCGTCAACAACTCATTCACGAATTTATTACCCATTGATGAGCCGAACATCCCTAAGATGGATCCTGATGAACTCTACAATGAAAATCGTGAAACTAAACAAGTGGGATCTGTTGAACCTGCAGATAGGCTGATGTGTGAAATTGTTGACGAGATTCCATTTTAATGATTTTTTTTTACACTTTTAAGCATAAATAAAATTATTTTTATTATACATTTAAGTATTTTCTTAAGTTAATTTTAATTCAAATAAATATTGATGGATATAAAATAAAGTGGTTAGATGTAAGACGTGTTCTCATCATTATTTTTAAATTGTTTGTAATTATTTCTGTTCTCAATGATATTTTCTGGTTCATCATCTCGGAAAATATTGAATATTGGATTATCATGAAGTCCAGAAAAATCATCAGAATCGTCTGACTTAATACTTTTATTATCCGAATTAACTTTCATTATTTCGGCTTGATTCATAACTGGATTGGTTTCTTGATGTGAAAATATGTTTGTGTTTGGTAGAACCTTGATGTGTCTATTTAATTCATTGGCAGATGAACTGAAGCTACTTTCATTCAAAAGTTTAATTTGTTGGTCATAATTCTTCGATCTTAAGAAATATAAGACAATTAACACAATAACTGATATGGCAAGAATAGCCGAAAGTATGGAAAGGAATATTAAAAGAAAATTATTATTAGAATTTTCTGGAAGTGCCAATGCTTCTTCTGGTGTTCGGTCCAAAACTAATGGCAGCTTCAACAGCTCATTATAAAGATTTGTTATCAGAACGATATCATTTTTGCTGTGTTAAAATAAAGGTAAAAATTAAAATAAATATGAAGAACAAAAAGAAAATTAAAACCTTGTAATTTCTGCTGCATCAACTGCTTCATTATCACGTATGAAATGCACTCGGACTGTAGTTAGCGTGTCGCTCATAGTACCATCAGATTCAACTTTTCCTTGAATTTCATCAATATTACATTCGTCAGTGTCATAAGCAGCACGAAGAATGTCAGTAAACTTTTGAGTGTCAACAGATCGAACTGTTTCAACATCATTTAAAAATGTGAAGGATAATCGATTAATTTCAGTGATTAAATAGACTTTCACCATTGTTTCATCCGTGTGGTTAACCAAATCTCGTGCTTCAACTTTGAATTCAAAAAATCCATTCGTATCAGTTATTCTAAAGTTCAAACTTAATACTCCGTTTGCTTGATTTAATTCAAAAGCTCTATTCTTAACACTTTCTAAATTTTCCCCTGTTGCAACAATAGTATCAGTTAGAAGATGATAAGAAACAACATCATTGAGGTCTGGATCATGTGCGATGAATGTTAAAAGAATCTTTCCTATATTATCTTGTTCTGAAATGCCAACGTAATAATTTTCATACTGAAATTTCGGTGAATTGTCATTCACATCGTTGACTGATATTTCAACAATTAATTTTGCACTATCAGATACACTTTGAGTTGGATAATTATTTAAATTAGTACAAATAATTCTCAATTGATGTCGATCTTTTGTTTCACGATCTAAATTTTTGACTAATGTTAGTTCTCGAGTGTCCTTGTCAAGATTGAAGAACTCTGTATCTTCCTGTTGATATTCTTCTAAAAAAATATATCTATGTGTTATTTTTTTTCCTTAATCCATTAATTAACTATGTATCTAGTTTAATGATTACCGTCAATGTAGTAAAATATTTTGTATTTATCATTCTCATTTATCACATCCTTATTTTTTGGATCGAATGCTTCAGGTAATATCCTGATTTCTTCACGTCCTTCGTCATTTTCCGTGAAGTCAATTAACGATGCATTAGGATCGAAATAAGGCTCTGCTGTTTGGTTAACAAATGAAATTCTGATGTTATTGACCCTATAGCTTCTCCTACCCCCATCATAAGCAATAACGTTCAACTTTACATAAATAAATAATTTTATAATTTTTAATGAAATAAAATTAAAAAAAAATTCTAAGTACCGAATAAGTTCGTTCTTCAACTTCTTCTTTCACTTTCAGTTCAGATTGTTTCTCATTCAATTTAAGCATATCAAAGTAAGTATGATCATCGTTATTATTATTTGACGATAATTCAAAATTTATATCTCCAAAATTTCCAGCATCTTCATCTACAGCTTCGAAAGGTAACAACACATTCCCGTCTGTTAAAATCATTTTGTTTTCTTTCTCAAAGATATCAAAACTAAGGAGAAAACTATTTTAATACGAAATTGTTTTTATTATAAATATTTTACTTACTCAATTCTCAGCAATGCATCAGTTAAAGGGAAGGTAATTTTTGGATCGTTAAAGTTAAATGGTTCAACGATGATGTAGTAAGATTCTGTTGAGCTTAAAGACACTCTTGAGTCTCCGAGATCACCTCTGTCATAAGCCTGATAAAAATTACATAATTATAAATTTCCATAAATATCTAAGAAATCTTCAGTAAGATGTACTCGTATTTGAATCTTCCATTTTCCGCTAAATCCTCGTAATGATTGAGTACACCTTATTTGACCGTATTTGTTATCATAACTGATAATATCAAATAAATTGTCGTAATTTTCCGGTATTATACTACCAAAATGTTCAACTGAAATGTTATAAATCATTATAAAAAATTCAATGTAAGCGATAAGAAATCTCACTCAATTCAAGGGATAATATTTCATATAAAACTTCGGAATTAAATGTGTTCGGTTTATCTTTATCAGGTGCTTCAAAATTTTCTTCTATGACTATAGACTGCATAAATAAAAAATTCTATTAGATGCATAAAAAATTCTAAACGAAATTTATACCTCATCTGCATTTTCAGATATCATATAATTTCGTGATGATGGCATTTGTGGAGCGTTATCATTTACATCCTCAAGAGTCAAATGAATCGAAACCCGTTCTGTATTCTTAACTAATATTGTGAAATGAAACAATATGTATTAGAAGAACAGTTTTTTATATTAATACAGAACATACGCACCACCTCTCCCTAAATAATTATCTTCAAGTGTGATTGGGATGAAATATTCGTCGATCCCGTTGTCACGGTCAAGCTCTTTAATCAATCTAACAGAAAGTTCACCGCTCAGTTCATCAATCATGAAATAATTTGATAAATCTCGGAAACTTTCAAAATCGATGTAATAAGATATAACATTGTGTGGAGCTAAAATAAAAACAAAAAGAGTGTTAAATTATTAAATAATTAGTAAGTTTCTTTTATCACCATCTCTGTCTAGATCTAATGCAAATATTTGAGTTATTAATTCTCCAGATGTAGCATTTTCATATATACTGAATTCTAATTCATTTTCAAGAGGTTCAGGAAACTTATTGTTAATATCAATGATGTATATTGCAATCTATCATAAAAAGTTTACTTCGTTAGATTAAAAGTTCTAATAAATATCAAGGAATTCTTACATTTCCAACTTCTTCGTATACTCCATCAGATATGCTTATTTGGTAATTTAAATATTCTATCCTCGGCACATCACAACTAATGTTAGGATTAGAAACTGTTAAAACGCCTGTAACACTATCAATTTCAATCCACTCATCTGGGGTGTCATCATCAAATGAACTAATTATAATAAAGAACTTAAGGATTATTTCAATTTATAAGAAAACTCAACACAAATACCTGATAGAATATTTTATAATATTATTTCCAGGACCATCAATATCAATTGCAATAATATTCCCAATCAGATTTCCAACTTTTGCATCTTCTACAAGGTCTCGAGATAGTGTCAAAGTGTCACCAACAAACTCTGGTTTATTATCGTTTTCATCTTTTATATTAATCACTAACATTGCAGAAGCACTATTGGGAAGAATTGTTTGATTTGTGTCTTCAACAACAATCTCTAAATGGATAATGTCAAATCTCTCAAAGTCGATATCATACTCGAATGAAGTGCTTGTTTTTAACACACCGATTGATGTGTCGCCATTCAATGAACTTTCAATTTGAAAGCATCTAAATAAGTATAAATCAATGTCAGAAAAATTATTAACGACATTGAATGAGATTATTTTACCCTTCATAATAAATATTTTCTACTGGAATTCCTGATTTTAATGCATAGGAATTTTCCCAATTGATGGAAAACTCAAGGGCCGATGAAGTATCAGGATCGAAAGCACTGATATCTTCAGTGACAATGACATCTTCCAAAGTGTTTTCAAGAACTGTCAGAACTTGTCGTGGCTTGTGTGAAGGAAACATGAATTAAAAGAAAGTCGTAAATGTTATTCATAAAATAGTTACCATTGTTAATCTCGGAGCTTCGTCGTTGACATCAATGACATCGATTCTGATTTCAGTGAAAACAACATGTGGAGGTTCATCCATCATTGTCTTTAATGTATCAGCCACTTGAACTCGAAACGAAACTTGTGGTTGTGTTTCATAATCGAAAGCATTTTCTCGTTTTGTTTTCAAGTCTCCTGTTTCACTTATGCTTACAAGATTTGAAATGGTTCCTGAAAGAGAGTATCTGTAAAGAAATTTCTTATTAATCAATTCATCTTTTCACAAAATGTTTCAATTTTACATAAGTGAATCGTCGATATCTCGGTCAGTTGCTGTTACTTTGCCAATGTCATAATTTTCAGGTGCAGTTTCCAGAACTTCAAAGACGTATAAGTCACTAGTAAATTCTGGTGTTTCGTCATTCCAATTTAGTAGTTCAACAGTGAACGATTCAGTCGTATTATGTTCATGTTCAATTGCAATAATCATTAATTCAAATTGTTGCCATTCAACCATCTCATAGTCGAGTAAATCTTTATTCAGGACATTAATAGTGAACCCTTGACGTTGATAACCATTACTGGGAATGATGGAAAATGCATTTGCAAATTCTTGACCTTCAGAGCTTTTTAAAAATATGTCATAAGAAGCATTATCACCAAGATCAATGTCATCAACAATCAGTTCAGTAGACTCGAATAGAGTGTTGAAAGAATTTTCCATTAATTTAATTATTTTCTTTTCAATTGGAATGAAAATCTCTGGAGAGTTGTCATTTACATCGTCAACAATAAGTGTTGCTGAATTCGTTACGAATGAAGTGTCATTGTTGCATTTATATGCATAAATCTGAATAATTGATAAAGGATTAACGTTTGTTAAATTTTCAATAAAAAGTTTTAAACTCACATCAAACGGATAAAATTCAATTTTCAATGCGTCTCTGTCGATTGGCTGTACGTGAATTATTCCCGTGGTTTCTTCTATTGATATAAGTTCCTTATCTTTAAGAATCATAAAAAAATTATTTATAAATTATGAAAAAAATTGAGATTGTCAAATATTTACAGAATTCATTCTCTGGCAGGAATTCGAGCTTGTAGCATATTTCGGTATTTATTCCCGTATCTCCATCAATAGCTTCTACTTCGAAAATCTGATTTGTTTTTTCTTTAAATCTCTCAGGTGCAAAAGTTTTTATCCACAATGGGGGTTTGTTGGGTATATCAATAACTTCAATCAACACTTTAAAAGTTCCACTGTTGTTACCAGCATCCAGAACTTTGACATCAAAATTGAATAATGCCGCTTTATCAAAATAAAGCGGTTGTTTAACTCTGAAATTAAAATAAATTTATTAGTTTGAAACTAAAATTTCGTTTAAAATGTGGAACTCACTTCAAGGAGAACTTCGTATTGTATTCGTCAATTGAACTTCCTCCAACAAATTCAAATAAATCAGCCTCTCCTCTTGTATCTTCGATACTTATTCGTATATCATTTTGATCTAAGCCATCAGCATCGTAAACATTCTAAATAAAAACATCAATTAATCTTCAATTGCTCTACAGATTTAATTAACTTACATAAATACATCCCGTATCATAATTGCTTTCAGTTAATTCCTATAAAAATATCAAAAGCGAAAAAAGAAAAATATTATTTGAAGGATCGTAGATTCAAATGTCATACTTACTGGTATTTTGCATATATTCATGTCAAACAAAAGAATGGGTGCGTTGTCAAAAATATTAATTACGTTGATTTGAACATAAATTTCATGTTCATCAATTTTCACCATAAAAATGTAATTTCTCATCTGAGATTGTTCATAATCTTGTTTATTATTTACGATCATTTCCCATTCATTATCCATGTTTTTTTCAAAGCTTAAATCTAAGTCTTGTGGTCTTCCAATATAAAATGCGCTTATTAAAGGAACTTGGTCTTCATCATAATTATCAATTAATCCCAAAATCAATGGTGGTGGAATTTCTTCCTTCATCGTAATTATTGCTGACCCAGAATCTAAATTTAGACTAACATCATCCGCAGGTCCCGCTTTAAACGTCCATTCTAAAAATACATATTTTTCATTCTTTTATTTATCGAAATTTATCATAATTTGCTGTCATTCTTACCACTTATTGCGCAATTGAAGATTGAAACGTACAATATTAACAGTTTCATTAACATATTTGCTTTTTGTATTATTGTCTCATATAGATCTATAAATAATTAAATTACTTTGATAAAAAGAAGAAAATGTCTCAATTGTATTATGCTCTATCTAATCGAGAACAATTAACGCTTTGCTTTATCGAAGAAGAATAATCAGGGAAGCGTGTGAATTTAATAGATAATCTCAATCAGAGAAACTCTTCCTACGACAAGTTATCACACTTTTCTGTTATAAAATTGCTGATATTTGTTTTTCTAAATGATTTTAGTATTTTCCGCCATTAGTCATCTAATTTTATTTTTTGATAAAAATATCTACTTCTGTAGTTCTTGACTTTTTTTATTATCTAAATTTATCTTTTTCTGTGAAACAGCAATTTCATTGAAGAAAAATAATATTTAAATATTAATTTTTATAAACTTTTACATGTGCATATTTTAATTTAATTCAAATAATAGTTAAAAGTTAATGAAAAAATGAATATTTGCATTTTGATCAAAATTTAAGGCAAAATTCTTGGTAAAATAACCAAAATCATAATAACTTTTCACATATCAATACGTTATCAATACAGGAAAACAAAAGAAGAACAATATCTTATCACTTAAATTCCAGATTTAAAAATAATAAATTACTGACATTTCAAACGAGTTGCGAATAAATAATCTTTGATTGGTTTTTAATGTTACTCCTCGTTAAATTGGAACAATACTGCAATATTTCTAATAATATTGATTATTAGATGTTCATTGCTAGCTTGTTGGTATTCAGAAAAATTATTCGCTTGTCAATGATATCATTTTGATAAGATAATAATAAAATTGTGGTTCCCGAAATAATGATACTACTCAGATACAGTTGTCAAGGTAACTTTCTAATGAATCAAACTCAAAATTCTTCATTTCGTGGTATAAGTAACCAATATGACTTTATTAATGATGCGATATTTGCATATTAAAATATTCAATGTTTTAATTATAACGAATCGTGGTTATAAGTTCAAGAATAAGTATATATTGAAAATGTTTAATTAATTTCTTGGTCTTTCAACAGTTCTGTCGTTGAAGACAATTGAACAATCTTGTGATCTCATATTTGGTGTTAAAAATGAGTTCATTGAATCAGTTCCCGGACGACCTGGGCGATCTATAAGAAAAAGAAAAAAATTAAAATAAACATTTCTAACGAAAATATTTTCAGTTTACCAAATGGATATCCCATGGCTTTCAAATCAGGATACAAGCGATCTCGAATGCCACAATAAGAAGCAGCATCGTTGCAAGTTCCTGCAAGATCTTGGTTGACACGATCTTCCTCGTAGTTGGAAATCATAACGAAAAGTTCACAACGCAAGCCTTCTGGTGTTCCCTTGGGAATCAACATATGTTGTGGCCTAAATAAAAATAATTATCAAAGACTTAAACACAATAAATTTTTTTCTTACCATCCACAACCACAGAAGTTAAACGAAGTTTCTCCAGCACCTGTAGGACGATCATCCAAATTTCTAAATGTACGATCATATGGAATTGTGACCGTCGATTCAACTGAACGTCTCTTCAAGATGTTTTCACCAGGTCTCACTGAAAATAATTATTTATTATAATTTGATTTTTTTTTTTCAGTTTCTGAAGCTACTTACAAGCAGTTACAAACTTATCCAACTCAATCATCATTCGTCGTTGTTCATTGAATAAAAATGGAGCTCCTCGTTCATCCGTTTTTGGTCCTAAAAAGATTCGAACCATTCCTAGACGTTGAGCACCTGAATTGTTATTCACTTGAAGTGAAATAGTATAAGGGACATGTTGCAAATGAGTGAATCTGAAAGATTTCGATTAAAATTGAATTAATAAATAAAAACTTTTCACTCACCGAGCAAAAACATCTCCACGTGGAACAAAGTCCATTCCTTTGGCCAAATTCAAATCACTTTGTTGCCAATGAGTGTTTATGATGTTAGGACGACCCCCATCAGCTTGAATTTGAATTGCATTTACAGAAATGCCTTGATAATTAAGTTGATCAGCACTGTATGGTGACAGCATTGATTTATGTGCTTGGAAAATATCATCGATCCATGCATGCCAACGATAAAAGACTGGATCACGCATAGCTGTAGCAGAATCTCCCATAACGCCGAATGATTCCAAATGACGATGATCAGGATCGTGGGAATAAGAAATCATAACATGCCCCATATTATGCAAATCTCCATAAAGTTGACTGTTGGGTGTAAGCATTGAAGCTTCCATCATGTTACCAAGAATGTCAATTCCACGTCTTTCATCAAGGGGAATTCGATTTCCTGATGAATCAACCACAAAACCTTGATTGACAGCTTCGAAGAATCTTTCACGCCATCGTTCAAGATCACTGATATCTAATCTAACTTGATCCAATTCACGATTTAAATCTCTCAAATAAGCACCCGAAATTCGAGCTGGCCATGAACGCGATGCCACCAATGAATCTAATTTGGGGAAATATCCCTCGGGTATTGGAGCGCGGAAGTTATTTAATCGACCAACACGTGGTAAACGATTGCTAAAGCGTTCAAGATTATATCTTGCAATGATCTGAGGTATGTTTTTGATATTAAAATGATTTAAATGAGAAGGATACAACTTACTTGTTGATGCATGTAATAGAAAAGTTCTCCTCGACGATCTTTGTCGACAATGCGTCTATCATTAGCCTCAAAAGGATAAACTTAAGCATAAAACATAGTTAATATGTTATGATTCAAATCATAATACGTTTATTCACCTAAATGCCAATGCCAATGATGTAGATTTATGCCCATGTCTTCACGGAAATACCACAATCTATGATGAACAAAAGTTTTAATCATTTATGCCTTAATTCATCATCATCATCATCATGCTTTAATTCAAAATTAAAATTCTTTTTTCCTTACCTATGCTCTTCTTCTAAATCAGAAGCTGTGTAATCTCGCCTGATAATAAATGAAATAATGTAAATTAAATATTAAGAGTTTAAAAGATACTCACGGAATAATTATTGGGCGTCGTGATCCAGTCGGTACAATTGTAGCTTCTTCTCGTGCGCGTTCAAAGACTCTTGAATCAATGAATTTGTCGGGAAATAAGCCGGAAAATAATGGAATATCCAGATCCTTTGTATCAGGCCTATGAATCAAAGCAACTGAAAGAGCGTAATTGAATAGTTGAGGGTTCACACGGTCTCGGGCATATGCCGCAACACTTTGCAAATCATTTGTGCTACGAACACCCATAAAAATGTCAATGAGACGAGCAGCAATCTTGCGATGTTTTGGAATAAAAACTGAAAAATTCTCTTGTCGTCCAAGTTGCATTGGTATTCTTAAATCAGGTTGAGAAATGTTCTGAACAGGAATTCGAACGCCAGCTTCTTCACCAAATCGATTTTGAATTTCTGTGCCGATAGGTTTATACTTCTCAGTTAAAAAGTTGTCAGGAACTTCGAAAACGGCATTCTCTTTTCCTTTTGGAGTAAACACTGGTTCATTTGGTCGCTCAAATAGAAGCAAAAGATTCTTTTTGTCGCTCATTGTTTCCTCGTTTTTTACTGTCACTTTCCAAGCAAGGCTAAAGAACAACTGTTACTGTGCTCTAAAACTCTCTCCTATTTATATAAAACGATGAACAGAAACTTTTCTGAAAAGTCACGAAATATTTTGATATTTGACATTTGTGGTAATCTGAAGGAAGATTGTACATTAAAATTATTTTGTCGGAAGATTATACATGCTCGTAACTTTTAAAGCATAAACCGCAAAAATTTCACATGTGAAATATCAAGTTAGTCAAAAATATGTTTTTTATCACTCGTGAACAACCATAGTAAGTAAGTAAGTAAGTAAGTAAGTAAGTAAGTAAGTAAGTAAGTAAGTGAGTAAGTAAGTATTTATTATTATTACCAAAATGGTATTTTTCTTTTCATGATGTTACAATAAAATTCTATTTGTTGAAAATATAATTTTTGAGTTTTTGCATTTTCATTTTATAGACTTTACAGTCTTTATACCAAATCATAATAAGAAATTTATTTTAAACATTTCTATCACAAATTATTGAGAGTATTATGAAAACTATGCAAAAATAGTGTAAAAGCTTTTTTAGCAAAACGTTAAACTTTTCATATTTTTGCGCCAACCGAATTTTTAAAGCAAACGAAAGCTTTTGAAATTTGAACCGGCTCATTGATTAGATTGTTTTTGCGAAATAAACTTGTTTTTTTTTTTCGTATCCTTCACAGGAATCTTTTCTGATTTAAAGCCTTGAACCTTTAGTTTAATTTATATTTTCGTTAATCAGGTAAGATTGATAATATTTCTCCTAAATTTCAATTAAAAGCATTTGAAAACTTGAAATTATTATGGAATTAATCAAAGGTGTTCAAAATTAGAGTAATAAAACACGATTACCAACCGTGGGACAGGGTTCGGCTTGATTCTAAGCGATTTTAAACAGAATCACATTGTTTAGGTTATCGTTTTCTGTATTATTAGCAGTTTCTTATTTACTAAGTGACTTTTCTGATCCAATTCAATAATTTCAATAATAATCGCAGAAGAATTTACCGGTAAACAATTCTTCAAACATTTCAAACAATAAACTATCTACTACAAATAAAGAAATTCTATTATCAGCTCATTTTAAAATTAACATCATAATAAATAAGGCATCCACATTTTGATTTAAAGATAAATTCTCAAATAATTGCACTTCCTCTTTAAAACGTAAACTAATTTTTTCATTTTCAATTATTTCAGAGAGCTTTTGTTATTTAATCCCAAAAAGACTTTATAATCGTTATTGAGTCTAATTTGAAAAGAAATATCAGTAAATCAAGGAGCTTACATATATTTTTCGAAAGCAAAGTAATCAGTTCAGTTCAAGATCAATTAAACAATTTATTATATGACGAATTACTTCTCATCATCATCGAAAATTTGTATCAGGATATTCAAGCAACTGTGGAATATGAGTAGTAATCATTCAAGCGATACAGAGCAATACAGTTTTGATCATGACATAGTGGATAGCTCCATAGTAGCTCCAGATCTTGAAGCCGTAGCACAAGCTCTAAATAATTCACATAAGACCAACGACTGTGATGATGAAGATGATGACGTCATCCTCATTCCACAGCATATTGAAACTATCGATTTATGTGATCAAACACTCCAATCACATCAATTAGCTTTGAATGATAATTCTGTCATCGTTATACCTGATTCACAAGATATGAAACCAGGTCCGTCTAGACGTCGCCCTCGTAACATTGCATTAGGAAATGATGCAATTGTTCTAGTGAATGATGAACTTAAGACAGTTTCTAAACGATTAAATTTTGATGACTCTCATGAAGAGATTTCAAACAAGAAAGCAAAGATAACTTGTCCAATTTGTTTTGAATCAGTCGTTGATCGAAAACCTGTCTCGACCATATGTGGACACCTTTTCTGTCGCTCCTGCCTCGAAGAAGCTTTCATGCAGAAAAAGATTTGCCCAATGTGCAAAAAACATTTGGCTAGAAAAGGTTCTTACCACGAAATTTATTTAAATGCTTAACATATTTGATATAAAATTCATATTTTTCCTTTGATTCATATCTATTTCCCTTATTTTATTAATTCGTAATCAGAAGAGACTGAAATTAATATTTTTTAATAATGTTCAAAGACGTTAGAATAAACATATTTAATAATCTTCTACCACGACAAATATAACTCTTTAATTTACATGTTAAAAATTAATAAAATAGGTATTTATGCAGTCGAATGTAGAAGATTTAAAAAGCTGCTGACTTATGAATAGCAAACGAAGGCTCGTTGAAAAATACATTTTTGTAATTTTCCATCAGTTTCTTCTTCAATTGTTGACTGTGATCAAAATCTGCAGTCTCGACAACGCATTTCACTTCAACACAGTAAATATCTTTAAGCCAAGCTCTCTCATGCATTATATCTTTAATAGTAACGCCAATAGATGAAATAAGACGACAAAGTTCAGTAATTCCACCTGGTCGATCACTAATTTAATTACAAAGACACTTTAGTCGTACTTTCAATAATTAATTTCAAAAAACCTTTTACCTGACAGTAACGTTGAATTTCATTAATCGTCCCTCAGCAGCTAATCCTCGCTCCAAACAACGTCCGAATGTTGTGGTGTCAATATTCCCTCCACAAACAAGTAACACAACTTTTTTTCCTTTGAATTCATCCAATTGACCAGCAAGTATTGCAGCCAAACCAGCTGCACCTGCGCCTTCAACAACACATTTTTCCATTTCCACTAAACGTAGAATAGCTAAAGCAATCCACTCTTCCTTTACAACAATCATTCTGTCTAAAAGAGGCTTTACGGTTGCGTATGCGTTACATCCTACTTTTGGAACTGCAAGACCATCGGCTAATGTTGCTAGATTGGGCGTATAAACCGGACCTCCATGTTGTAATGCTTTTGAAAATGATGGACATTTGTTGCTTTCAACCCCCTACAAAAATCAAACCTTTTCAATCAAAAATATCGCCGACATGAAAAAACATGACTAAAATTCCCTTACAATAATTTTAGTTTGAGGTGATAGAGTTTTTATTGCTGTCGCAATTCCTGCTATCAATCCACCACCTCCGACTGTAAAATTATTTCAAGCATAAATAAAATTGGTTTAAACAGAATAAATATTCAGAATTACCTGGAACAACTATGGCATCAGCACCTTCACATTGTTCAACAATTTCAAGGCCAATCGTTCCTTGTCCACTTATTATTAATGGATGATCGTAACCATTTACGTATGGAGTTTTCTTATCTCTTGAAATTTCCATAGCAATTTTCTTTGCTGCTGCCATGTCTTCACCTACGTACGACATGGATTAAAGGTCTTAATTGCAAATAGATACATAATAATCTCAAAAGTTTAAGAAACCTTGAATTAAGACGTGTGCACCAAAACTTCGACATTTCTGAACTTTCATAATTGGTGCTTCTTTTGGCATGACAACAGTCACAGGTATTTTAAGTTTCATTCCATGATAACTTAAACCCAAAGCATGATTTCCAAGAGAAGCTGACACAACTCCATTTTTCTTCTGTTCTGGTGTTAAATGAAGTAGAAAGTTTCGAGCACCTCGTTCTTTGAAACTGCCAGTGTATTGTTGGAATTCCTTCTTCAAAAAAATTTCTATTCCACTTTGTTCAGATAAATGAGATCTCTGATAGAATCGACAGATAGAAAATGCATATAAAAGTTGACATTGCAAATTTTTCCCGAATCATCTTACCCGACATGGCGTGAAATCAATTCCACCTTTAATCATAAAAGCTGCTTGACAAACATCTTGAAATGAAATAATTCGAGGATTTTTCTCATCACAAGACGGATCCAAGACAGTTTCAGCAGCAGATTCTGGTGGCTGTGTTGCTTTATCTGATTCACTGTTTAATGAATTTTTAATCTTCACATCATTAACTTTTTGTTCCTTTAACGTGACTGGAGCTTTGTCAATAATTTTATCTTCAACCATTTTAAAATTTTAAATGAAATCTAGACGACTTTCGTACCCAATGATTAAATGAAAACTGATCTCGATATAAAATGTTCATCTGACAATAAATGATTTTGATGTTGACGAGTTGAGACGACAGATAAAAGATGTTTATTTACGCCTAAACTTATCAACTCAAAACTTTTGATATATCTTTAAATATAGTTTACGTTCAAAATAAGAAGATACGTCAAAGTAAAATTATCATCCAATTACAATATTTTTAGCGAGTATTCCATCATGTTATAAGCTTCTTTAAAAGCTGATTTAAGTCAATGCATCCAGTAAGTTAGTCAGAATTTAAATATAAAAAATATACAAAAACATGATTTTTGTTTAGTTCTTTTTTATTAAACAAAAATTGAAATTCTGTAGCGTTTGTCTTCTTGTCTATCACAAAAGGTTGAATCATGATCGTTAAAAGAAATGGAAATGAAAAAGTATCCTTTGGTTATCAGGATATTTAAAAACGGAACAGATTTATTGAAGTGATACTACGATTTGGGCAATTTGCGTTATCGATTTAATCAAATAAATTGATTTTTGACTTCACATGTTTCAAGGGCATAGAATACTTAGATATTAAAGTCGTTTATAACAACTTTTTTCTTAGTTTGTAGATAAGTCGATGATATAAATATATTTTATGTTATATGTATAAATATTTCCAATTGTTTGAATTGTTGAAAAAGTGCAACTATCATAATGCAACAATATATTTATAATAAATAATTATAAACATACATTAAGAAAGGTGAGTTGCTATCATCATCTTTTTTGTAATAACATTCAATATAAAAATATTAATAGTCGCTCATGCTCTCTCGATTTCATTTATGGTTTGTATTTTCAACCTTTTACTCACTTTTAATCATTTATTGGTATAGTGCATGTATATTTGCAAAAATTCATTTGCATATTAAGAAATTCTCGAATGAAAGATTAAACATTTAATAAAAATAAATGACATTTATTTTGCTTTCCATTCATCATAAAAGAGCCCTCTAAAACATAGATCGGCCCTTGGTGAATTCTGATGATCTTTCAATAGATAAATCAATTCTAAAAATTTTCTATTTCATTGAAGTTTCTGGAAAACTAAGTTTAAGTAATTTTTTTATTTTTGAATTCCTTGAATACTTTTTCTATGATAAATAAAAAGAAGATTAGAAATAAATAATAAATATTCCATTTATATCCATTTAACCGAGCTCTGTTTGGTTAAATGGGATCATCTGAGAATAATTTTGGAGAACAAGAAAATGTCTTGTTTATACAAGTGGCTCACCAATCCATATAAATATTAAGGAATGTTGCCACCATGATTTTTCGATAAGATTATTATTTGATTGATTATTATTTGATAAAAAGATTACTCTTATGCTCAATAAAATTATATTTTTTTCTCTCCCATAATATTATAGATTTAAAATTTAAATGTCTTCCTCTATGAATAGATATCATTTATCTGTATTTATTAAGATATTTCATTGAAGGAAAATGAAATTTCTTTCCTCCTTTTTTCTCTACTAACACGAATGGATGTTTGTGATTTGAATATTAATCAAAATGCGCATGGAAAACAATTAGTTTACTCTTTTCTTTTTACGACTAAACTTTTTCAGTTTTCTTCCATCTTTGATAGATTATGATTAATAATTAGATACTTTTAGTAATTCCAATTTATGTATCAATAAAATAGAAATTGATTAATTTACAATATAATTTGTAATTTTGAAAAATGCTCACAGATTTTCCAAAATTAAAAAATAAATGAATTGATGAAAATTCGTCGAGTAAATTTCTCGAAAAATCCCTCGTGGTAAAAAAAAACCCAATATAATTTGTAAGAACAAAAATTATTAAAATATATTTTTTTGATTTCTCTCCCTCCTCCCTCCATCATTTTAATCTTCGCAGAGTCTAAACTTTTCTTAACATCTTGTGGATACAATAAAATTAAACACACAGAATACTGTTTCCATCCACAGCCTCTTCATTTTGTCATAAAAACAAAATTTGATAAAACGTTGCAGAGCTCAATACAAATAAAAATAACAAAACTCAGTTAAAAATGAATAAAAATATGCCAATAAATTCTCTTTTTTTTTCTCATTATTCATGGTCCATTAATTTACATCTTTAGCCGATCTTCGTGTGCTTTTTTGACGATAGCTAATTTAGAATGCGGTGATTGTGGTGACAATGTTCTATATGGTGGATCTTTTGTTCCATGAAGAACTAAAGACCATTCCTTGAGCCATCCAGTTTGAGGTTCCTTTGAATTGAAACTTACTTCTAAAAGCCATTTTCCTTGAGGATATTCACCCCATGTATGTGTTGTCATAAATGGCCATTTTGTGAATCCATCGCGATGGTCATCATCGTTCGGTCTTTTGCTCAAAATCATCGATCTACAATATTTTTTTACGCATAAAAATTAATGTTTATTTAATTGAAAAGTTTACCTTGTTCCCATAGGAGAAGTTAAGAACATTTCCAAATCGCCTCTGCGTGTTGCATTAGCAGTGATAACTGCTTGAACATGTTCAAGATAATTAACCTCTGTATCTGTTCCACGGCATGCACTGGTGTCAATTCTTAGTAGTAACGAACGAGACGATGGAATTTCTCTGAAATGGTAAATTCTATTTAAAAAAAATCTTTTTTTTCCATTTAAAATATTTCACTGTAATTTGGTAATAGTTCCAGCTTCACAATGATAGCGTGGTGGGACGGTTTGCCACTGTTTTGATAAAGTAACCATACCACCTGCATCAAGCACACCAAAGCCAAAGAGATGATTGAACTCAAGACCTACTCCATTCATTGTCCAATGGAAGCGATTTTTTGCATCGTAAAGTGAATTTCGCTTTGATGTTAGAACTGTCAAATGTTGTATATCACGCCACGATAAAATTGGACTGTAAATGATAAGAAATGATAGAACAATGTGTATTAAATAAATTTGTATGAAAAGTTACTTGGCTTCCAATGCAAGAGCGAAAACTCCAGCAGCTTCAGGGGCTGCAGCCGATGTTCCAGAATGTGTTGTTGTGCATTTGCCATATAAATCCGTGGTTGCCTTAAAAATTAATTAGGTGTGAATTTTGTAGAAATTCTAAAGTCGAAATGTAAATACCACTCCAGTGTTTGGATCCTTCGCTCCATTGCTGAATGTACTTGCTAATGTAGAACTACAACTTTCATCATAGTGCGCGTTCTGACCATCATTGATAGCGCTGTTAATAGAGATTGTCCACATTGATGCTGCATATCCATCGCAATTGCAATCATCTTCTTCACCGCCATCTCCAGATGCCCATACGTAAATGTTTCCAAGTCCTTTCCTGCCTTCATTAACTCCTTGCACAATTGCACGCATTGTTGCATTTCTTGGACCATCAACAGTTTTCCCATCATCTTTTAAAATCATTTTTAATTATTAACAAAAATCCATTTAAATTGTTTGTAATAATCAAACCTGTTGGTCCCCATGAAGCACTGTAAATATCAATTTTATGTGGCTCATGTCCCATTGAGTTAGCCTCAATTAAATCTGTCATATAAGGTTGATCGAGCATTCTTATGCCAGCAACTTTAGAATCATATGCTACGCCGACACCACAAATGTCATTATCACGAGCTGCCGCAACTTCTCCAGCACAACGTGTTCCATGGCTTAAATGTATAAAATAAAAAAATAATTGGACAAATTGAAGTGGCAGCTTTCAATATAAAAATGTTTGATTGATTTATTGATTTATATCAAGGATATCTCCTCCTAGGAAAAGAAATTTGATGTTCGTTAGAACGAATATATAAATGATATTTATAAGAAAAAGAAATATTGAAAAGAAACAATAAAAATAATACTTCCGTCAGTGACTAAAGTTATTATGTGACCGAAAAATATTAATCAGATAAGCAAGTTATGCTTGTAAATATTTTCGCAAATTTATATAATAACACATGGTTATACAAATAATTACGATATCTCCAAGTAGAGAAAAAAAATTTATACATTATCGGATGTCGATAACAGAAATTGCGCCTTCTGATGACACGACCAGACTTCTTTACATCAATTTGCTGTTTTTAATAGTTGTTAATGATAAGATATGATAAAAAATATTATCAATCATATCCAATAATTGTAATATTTCACATTCGTTATAAAACTTTCACTGTCACAACATAGACAAATTTTGTCTTATAAGTTTTTGATGTCATTTATGTATGTCTTAATTGATAGAATATTTTTATTATCTTATGTAAATCACTTTTAAAGAGTTAGGTAAATAATCAAATTTTGATGTTAATTTCAAAATCATAATTAAATTAAATTAAATATTTTTTTTAAATTACCTGTTGAACCAATCGTCAGTATACCGTGGATAAGGGAATGGATCATTGCTACTAAAATCATAACTGGCTTCAGCGTTCTTTAAAAGAAAAGAATATTATGAATTTTTTTTTTTTAATTGTTACAAGAACATGATATTTATCAATCTTGATAACAGTAAAATGAGACGAAATTATAGTCCCACTTTCTTGAACTGACATTGTCATATAAACTCTGATATTGTATAACGTAAATAATTGAAAGTACAAAACAAATCCCCACTCACATAATTGAATTTAAGATCAGGATGCATATAGTCAACACCTTGAAAGAAATAGAAGAGTTACAGTTAAAATATGTTGAGACGGTAAATGTTTTGGGATGAAATATTTAGGTAGTTAAAAGTCTCAAAGCATCTTGAATATAGACTTTCAAAAGTAACTTAAATCAAAATGGCAGGAATATTTGAAATTCAGACCTCGTCTTCGGTCCCTCAGTGCTAAGCTAGATTAAATAAAATAAATCTTCTTTTTAAATGATTGTTGAATCGTTCTGAAGTTCTTTTATGCTTCTTTGTAATGTAAAAGACAAACAAAGAATTGGAAATGAAATTAGCAAATTAAAAGTTGAAATGAAAAAGATCGATGTTGCGTCAACTTCCTGAAGGTTTGATTTTGTAATTTTCATTACCATCATCCATAATAGCTGTTGTTACATTTTTGCCAGTTACGCCTTGATCCCATGCCGCTTGAACATTTAAATCCAATCTCATTTTACCACCATTCTGACCGGTATTACGTAAATACCATTGAAATGGAAAATAAGGGTCTGTTGGGACATTAGAGCTTTCGCTATATTTTTCACTCTCAATAGGATAATTGCTGATGGCTGCGGGACTTTTCAATGTTCGGAAACCTCGTTTAACACGTTTAAATCCCGGCTGTTGAATAGCATTGTGAATCTATAAGAAGGCAAAAATTTTCTAAGATTTTCAAACTCTTTGAAATGCTTTTTTTCACAGAAATTTTTTGAAAGAATTTCGATTTGTTGAATACATTTTATATAGAATAATTTTGTTATCAAGATCACGTGAAAAGTACACAATTAAAAAACATAAATTAATTTGAAGATTAAAATTACACGTGACAAATTGACAAGTAAAAAGTGTAAGAATAATTTTGATGTTCAAACTCTTTAATGTTTTTTCAACATTTTAGTATTAATATAAAGTTATAAGATATTTACCAGTGGCTCTTTTTTTAATAATCTTGTGTGGGCTATGCTTCTTCTTGACCTGACATGAGGTATCGAACTGTGTCGAAAATGATACTCTTTTCCGAAACTACCAGGAAGCTNAAATAATAAATATTCCATTTATATCCATTTAACCGAGCTCTGTTTGGTTAAATGGGATCATCTGAGAATAATTTTGGAGAACAAGAAAATGTCTTGTTTATACAAGTGGCTCACCAATCCATATAAATATTAAGGAATGTTGCCACCATGATTTTTCGATAAGATTATTATTTGATTGATTATTATTTGATAAAAAGATTACTCTTATGCTCAATAAAATTATATTTTTTTCTCTCCCATAATATTATAGATTTAAAATTTAAATGTCTTCCTCTATGAATAGATATCATTTATCTGTATTTATTAAGATATTTCATTGAAGGAAAATGAAATTTCTTTCCTCCTTTTTTCTCTACTAACACGAATGGATGTTTGTGATTTGAATATTAATCAAAATGCGCATGGAAAACAATTAGTTTACTCTTTTCTTTTTACGACTAAACTTTTTCAGTTTTCTTCCATCTTTGATAGATTATGATTAATAATTAGATACTTTTAGTAATTCCAATTTATGTATCAATAAAATAGAAATTGATTAATTTACAATATAATTTGTAATTTTGAAAAATGCTCACAGATTTTCCAAAATTAAAAAATAAATGAATTGATGAAAATTCGTCGAGTAAATTTCTCGAAAAATCCCTCGTGGTAAAAAAAAACCCAATATAATTTGTAAGAACAAAAATTATTAAAATATATTTTTTTGATTTCTCTCCCTCCTCCCTCCATCATTTTAATCTTCGCAGAGTCTAAACTTTTCTTAACATCTTGTGGATACAATAAAATTAAACACACAGAATACTGTTTCCATCCACAGCCTCTTCATTTTGTCATAAAAACAAAATTTGATAAAACGTTGCAGAGCTCAATACAAATAAAAATAACAAAACTCAGTTAAAAATGAATAAAAATATGCCAATAAATTCTCTTTTTTTTTCTCATTATTCATGGTCCATTAATTTACATCTTTAGCCGATCTTCGTGTGCTTTTTTGACGATAGCTAATTTAGAATGCGGTGATTGTGGTGACAATGTTCTATATGGTGGATCTTTTGTTCCATGAAGAACTAAAGACCATTCCTTGAGCCATCCAGTTTGAGGTTCCTTTGAATTGAAACTTACTTCTAAAAGCCATTTTCCTTGAGGATATTCACCCCATGTATGTGTTGTCATAAATGGCCATTTTGTGAATCCATCGCGATGGTCATCATCGTTCGGTCTTTTGCTCAAAATCATCGATCTACAATATTTTTTTACGCATAAAAATTAATGTTTATTTAATTGAAAAGTTTACCTTGTTCCCATAGGAGAAGTTAAGAACATTTCCAAATCGCCTCTGCGTGTTGCATTAGCAGTGATAACTGCTTGAACATGTTCAAGATAATTAACCTCTGTATCTGTTCCACGGCATGCACTGGTGTCAATTCTTAGTAGTAACGAACGAGACGATGGAATTTCTCTGAAATGGTAAATTCTATTTAAAAAAAATCTTTTTTTTCCATTTAAAATATTTCACTGTAATTTGGTAATAGTTCCAGCTTCACAATGATAGCGTGGTGGGACGGTTTGCCACTGTTTTGATAAAGTAACCATACCACCTGCATCAAGCACACCAAAGCCAAAGAGATGATTGAACTCAAGACCTACTCCATTCATTGTCCAATGGAAGCGATTTTTTGCATCGTAAAGTGAATTTCGCTTTGATGTTAGAACTGNTAAATGTTTCCAAGTCCTTTCCTGCCTTCATTAACTCCTTGCACAATTGCACGCATTGTTGCATTTCTTGGACCATCAACAGTTTTCCCATCATCTTTTAAAATCATTTTTAATTATTAACAAAAATCCATTTAAATTGTTTGTAATAATCAAACCTGTTGGTCCCCATGAAGCACTGTAAATATCAATTTTATGTGGCTCATGTCCCATTGAGTTAGCCTCAATTAAATCTGTCATATATGGTTGATCGAGCATTCTTATGCCAGCAACTTTAGAATCATATGCTACGCCGACACCACAAATGTCATTATCACGAGCTGCCGCAACTTCTCCAGCACAACGTGTTCCATGGCTTAAATGTATAAAATAAAAAAATAATTGGACAAATTGAAGTGGCAGCTTTCAATATAAAAATGTTTGATTGATTTATTGATTTATATCAAGGATATCTCCTCCTAGGAAAAGAAATTTGATGTTCGTTAGAACGAATATATAAATGATATTTATAAGAAAAAGAATCAATATATATATTGAAAAGAAACAATAAAAATAATACTTCCGTCAGTGACTAAAGTTATTATGTGACCGAAAAATATTAATCAGATAAGCAAGTTATGCTTGTAAATATTTTCGCAAATTTATATAATAACACATGGTTATACAAATAATTACGATATCTCCAAGTAGAGAAAAAAAATTTATACATTATCGGATGTCGATAACAGAAATTGCGCCTTCTGATGACACGACCAGACTTCTTTACATCAATTTGCTGTTTTTAATAGTTGTTAATGATAAGATATGATAAAAAATATAATCAATCATATCCAATAATTGTAATATTTCACATTCGTTATAAAACTTTCACTGTCACAACATAGACAAATTTTGTCTTATAAGTTTTTGATGTCATTTATGTATGTCTTAATTGATAGAATATTTTTATTATCTTATGTAAATCACTTTTAAAGAGTTAGGTAAATAATCAAATTTTGATGTTAATTTCAAAATCATAATTAAATTAAATTAAATATTTTTTTTAAATTACCTGTTGAACCAATCGTCAGTATACCGTGGATAAGGGAATGGATCATTGCTACTAAAATCATAACTGGCTTCAGCGTTCTTTAAAAGAAAAGAATATTATGAAATTTTTTTTTTAATTGTTACAAGAACATGATATTTATTAATCTTGATAACAGTAAAATGAGACGAAATTATAGTCCCACTTTCTTGAACTGACATTGTCATATAAACTCTGATATTGTATAACGTAAATAATTGAAAGTACAAAACAAATCCCCACTCACATAATTGAATTTAAGATCAGGATGCATATAGTCAACACCTTGAAAGAAATAGAAGAGTTACAGTTAAAATATGTTGAGACGGTAAATGTTTTGGGATGAAATATTTAGGTAGTTAAAAGTCTCAAAGCATCTTGAATATAGACTTTCAAAAGTAACTTAAATCAAAATGGCAGGAATATTTGAAATTCAGACCTCGTCTTCGGTCCCTCAGTGCTAAGCTAGATTAAATAAAATAAATCTTCTTTTTAAATGATTGTTGAATCGTTCTGAAGTTCTTTTATGCTTCTTTGTAATGTAAAAGACAAACAAAGAATTGGAAATGAAATTAGCAAATTAAAAGTTGAAATGAAAAAGATCGATGTTGCGTCAACTTCCTGAAGGTTTGATTTTGTAATTTTCATTACCATCATCCATAATAGCTGTTGTTACATTTTTGCCAGTTACGCCTTGATCCCATGCCGCTTGAACATTTAAATCCAATCTCATTTTACCACCATTCTGACCGGTATTACGTAAATACCATTGAAATGGAAAATAAGGGTCTGTTGGGACATTAGAGCTTTCGCTATATTTTTCACTCTCAATAGGATAATTGCTGATGGCTGCGGGACTTTTCAATGTTCGGAAACCTCGTTTAACACGTTTAAATCCCGGCTGTTGAATAGCATTGTGAATCTATAAGAAGGCAAAAATTTTCTAAGATTTTCAAACTCTTTGAAATGCTTTTTTTCACAGAAATTTTTTGAAAGAATTTCGATTTGTTGAATACATTTTATATAGAATAATTTTGTTATCAAGATCACGTGAAAAGTACACAATTAAAAAACATAAATTAATTTGAAGATTAAAATTACACGTGACAAATTGACAAGTAAAAAGTGTAAGAATAATTTTGATGTTCAAACTCTTTAATGTTTTTTCAACATTTTAGTATTAATATAAAGTTATAAGATATTTACCAGTGGCTCTTTTTTTAATAATCTTGTGTGGGCTATGCTTCTTCTTGACCTGACATGAGGTATCGAACTGTGTCGAAAATGATACTCTTTTCCGAAACTACCAGGAAGCTGAAAGTGTTTTTTCAAGCATAATAAATATTAGAAAAAAGGTTCAATATTTACTTTGTATAAAAACGATCGATCTAAATATATTCTCAATTCAAACCATGAATTTTTGTGAAAGAAAATAAATGCTTTTTTATATTTTGCACAAGAATACTTCTCCTTATAACTCGTAAAGCTTAAATTTATTTTCAATACCATCAGTCAAAAGAAAAGAGATTTTGTCATTTTTTTATTAAAGTGTATAGCACATCCTAAAATGTTCATCGAATTTACAACTTCTGGCATTTTCCAATCAAATGTTATGCTATGGAAATTAAAAAAGTTTACGTCTAATGATTACAATATTGAAGTAGAAGCCTCGATGGTATTCTCGTTTGAGTATAAAGAAAGAAAAAGTATTTTAATCATACCACAAGAATATGTTGGCTTAATTTGCATTTACGTAATTCCTCAAAGATTCACATAATAACAAACTTTTTAATTCAAACCGTATTTCATATTTGAAAAAGTATATAAAATGATTTTTAAAATTCTCTACATAGAGAAAATTTCCTTTCCAACCTTTAGTTTCTTATTAAATCAATTGAGTCTGTAATTTTCCATAATTAGATAGAAAATACAATTATTTCTTATGGAAAAATGTAGTCAAAAATATTAGATTGACGCAAAGACAAAGTTTAACATATGTACGTCAATGATATTGATGAATAAATCGCTGAAGCATAATTTAGATTTATCTGAATCATTGAATTGATTAAAATAAATAGAATGAAAAATGTTTGTAAGAAATTTATAAACAATTTGTGGATATAATGAAAGCTGTTGAAAGAATTTCTTATATTTATTAATAAAGCATATGGAAAGTTTTGTTCGTTTATTTCATTTCTTTTATGATAGATAAGTTTTTCTGAGTATCAAATTATAATCTCTGCCTAAGTAAATTATAAAATGTTTCTTTCCATTGAAAGCTGTGATTTGGTGATGTAGGTACTTATCTTAATATAGAAATTAACGTAAAAATCTTAAATAACAAGTGACAGAAATTTATATTCCCATATGGTTAAAAGAAAATCGTTATCTTTTGACCTTTAAACAGGAATTATGTCGAAGAAAAGCTTCTTTTCTCAACTGAATATATTTTTCCGTCCCTATTGTTAGCAGTTTTGAAAGTTTTAAAAGGTTTTATAAGTTTAAGCTTCATTTATTTTGGAGAATATTTCACCTGTGCTTACACATGGTATTATGAAATCAATTTACGCAATATCGAAAATAAAATAATGGAGATGGTATGATAGTGGGAGGTTTTTTCAAATTCATCATCATTTCATTACTGTTTAGATAACATTTAGAAGAATATAGTTAGTAGATAAGATTACAACGTAATTAAAAAAGAAAAAAGCTTACTGGTCCAATGTTATGAAATGAGTTCCGTTTAGCAATGTCATGAGCTTCTAAATTATTGACACTCCGCTTGAAACGAACTAAAAATGAGCTCGTGAACAATTCATTTGATGCAGATGTTGACGCTGTTTCCAGTGTAATTGCTAACACGAAAAGTCCCAAGAGAAGGGCATTCCATTTCTTTAGCATATTCTGATATATTCCAACCTTTTTTTTTCAATTATCCCTGAAAGGATTATTTTATTCCTTCATTTATTTTATTTTTTGATAATTTAACGATTGTAACATATATTTTTCATTCATCTATCAGTTCACATTAATTCCTTTGATGTTTATAGATAGAAACTCACTTTTTATTTTATTCCTTAATCTGTTGACTTAGATATGTGTTTCTATTTATTTTTGGACAATATTTATTGAGTTGGAAATGAATACTTTGAAAAGTAAAGTCCTACACTTTACTTTCGTTTTGTTAAATTATCAAATATGTATTTACGATGAGAAAATGCAATAAAAACTCATTTAAATCTGTGTGTGGTTAAATAAAATCTGGTATCTAACTTATGTTGGAAAAAAATAAATCTTTAGCTTTGTTTCTCTCTGTTCACTTTGAATTTTGAAGTTCACATTTACACTCACTAAAAGGTAAATGTCTATGTACCTATGTCGATAACAATATTTATCTTCACTTTTAACCCAAAACTCTTCTTCATCAAAAATTTAAACCTTTCTTAGAAGTCACCATTTTTCCCTTTCAACTTGACTGAGTGATAAAAAGTGAATAACGTTGATATGCTGAAATGGAAACTTTTCCCTCTCCTGATATTTTATAATCATGCGCAGTGATTATTTATGTACAACACGCTCAGTGGAAAAACAAAAAGTTATTTCCACGTACATACCTCTAAGTAAGGTTTAAACTTTTAACATCTTCATACAACAAATAAAATTAAACGCAAACGTTTATTTTAATTTCCAAGGCTGTGTGTTGAGCTTTAATCATTTTTCCTTCCTCATATTTACAAAAGGAAATGTCGGAAAATGTCTTCTCAATATGATTAACTCGTATTGCTGCTGTGCGCATACTTTTATCAAATTTCTTCATATGTGTTCGTACTGACGTCATTCTGGAAAGATAATTCTTTTGTCACAGCTCCTGTCAAAATAAAAGCAACAATGTCAATAAAAATATTGTCGTCATGCTAAAAGAAATCTTGCTTTTCAAATAAAATATTTGACTGTCGCGGAATTCGTCTGATGCAACTTTTCATCTATTAATTTTATCCATTTTTTCAGAATCGAACATCTTTAGGACTTCATAAAAATAATGTAAAGAAATTATCTAAATTTTATTTACAATAAAAAATAATAATAAAAACTTTTGTAGATATCTGTAACAATAGGAGGGATATCCATATTTGCTTTAAACATACCTACAACCATAGAAAAATAGGTGATATATTAATTATGAACTCAATCCCTCTACATAAAGAAATTCAGAGGAAAAAAATAATTGCGTGGCAAATGTTAGAGGTTGCTTTCTTATTTAATGCTTATCTTTTCTTTTATGCGCAAATTCTTTGTGGCGACTTCTTTTCTAATCACTAACATCTTGGGGTGGGTGAAGACGAATATGGTCGAACTTATAGATTTACTGTTTACAAACAGACCACAAATTAATCTTTTGTAGTGGTTCGTATAGATTAATGCTTAATAAATTTCTCCGTTTCATTGAAGAAATAATTCCTTACTGTTTTTATATTGGTCATGTTAATAATGAAGAAAGTTATGTAAAACTTTTTAACTCTCAATATCATATGAAGAACTTTTAAAAAACGTACACAGTCTTTTGCTTATGTAATAAAAAATGTAATAAATTTGTTTAAATTAAACAGGATTTGTTGCTGTCAAATACTTAAAGCCTTGAGTAATGAAGATTTAACGTTTATTTTTCTTCCACGATTTTATCCCAACATTTGACAATTAACGCATTTCGAGTAGATGTGCACCTAAACAAATATTTGTAAATACTGCTTGATATGGAAAGGGCAATAAATTTATTACCCTAAGCTTTTTATTTATTTTGCGTGTCAAACATTTAAAAATATGTACCTTAATTTTCATTTTGCCTCAAAATTTCTTTCTTTAATGTTTTTTCTCTTTCTTGTTGCTCTTAAACGCTTCAAGGCAACCTGGCGTTTTGCTTCAATCTCTTCCCGAGAACAAATTCTCTGACTCGAGTTCTCCTTTAATGAATTTGTTGTCATCAGATTACCTGAAACCAAAAAGAATTCATTTTCTTCAAATGTATAAATATCCTAGATCTCAATAAAAGTCAAATCCTTGACAATATAAAGTTGAGTGTCATTTAAATTCATTATTGAATTCCTACCTTTTTCATTTCTTGAATCTGTTTTAATTGGAGATGTTATTGGATCTTTGTGCTGATATTTGTTTTCAAATTTATCATAACTGTCTGATTTTTTAATTGAAAAGTTAGATGAGATCGAAGAATTAGTACGATGTTTCGTCAAATTCCGTAAGTTTTTTATATCCGCGTTCTTATTATTTATGTTTTGTGTCAACATTTCAAGAGGAACTTCACTAAGAATTTCATCACCTTCCCAAATATCAAATGTTTTATTTGATTTCACTGGATTATTTTCTGTAGTAATTTTTGTGAGACTAGGTTTCTCTGAAGAAGCAATTTCTTCAAAGTCTTGTGAAAAACTTGCTTCAAGATAGTCGTCAGGATTTATATTTTCGTCCAATTGACTTTTTTGCTCTTCCTGTTGTTTATTATACTTCACCAATGGAATTACTTGTCGTTTCATAATTCGCACGGGAGTATGGTTGAAGTCATTAGAACACTTATTATCAGTTTTGTTTTTGTCCTTTCTTTGTTGAGGTGAGGATTCGTCATTTTTCCAACTCACTTCTGATTGACTTGATTGGAATTCTAAAGAATTTTCCAGCTCATTTTGTGAAATTAATGATGGTTTGCGAAAACTTGTTATACTTTTCGTTGGACTTTTCATACTAATTTTTATAGAATCTAATAATTAATTCTTAAGTAAACTTTTTCCGTTTAAATTTTTTTGATTCCTTTTGAGCCGGGTCAAAAACTTCGGCACGTTATTTTTTAGCTCTTGCGAGGAGAGTTTTCATTCAACATTGACGTCGGACTGACCGAAATCGACTTGCGTGGATTTGACCTCCCATACAACGTAGACCCAAAAAACTATTCCATGCAGAGAAATTCGTCCGTGCGTACACACTCCACTTGAAACTGACTTAGGAGAGACGAGTTTCGGGTAGAGAGTGTATTAATTCTTGGTAAAAAACAAACCAAAATTTTTTTCACGAAAAAAAGCTTCGAATTGTATACAAAATACAAATACGGCAAAATGAATATGAAATTACCAAATTTTAATGTGAAGGATCTGATGCGAGAAGCTGGCAGTACCATAAGTACTCAAGTTTCACGTGTAGTCCAAGTGAGAGTGAGCGTTTAAAAATTTTCTTTCAATTATTGATTTATTTATGTTATTAAGCTAACGGAGGAAAAACTAAATTTGACATCTGATAAGACAGAACTTGACAGCCACTTTGAGGCGCTTATTGAACGAGGCGAAGCAACAAAGAATCTTACAGAGAAAATAGTAAAAGATACTGAAGCACTGCTTGTTCCAAATCCAGGTAATTATGATTTAAAATTTGACAAAACAAATTAAAAATAGTTTTCAATGATAGGCAACCGAGTCGAGGATTTTATTTTTGAGAAAATAGAGAAAAAGAAGCCACAACGTTTGTCAAACATAGAATACTTGGTATGAATGCTTCCTTTTTCATTTTTTTACTTGATTTTAATCTTTTGATTTCATTTAATTCAGGGCTTGGATTTAATCGAAGCGGGGGGTACTTTTGGTCCTGATGGATCATATGGAGCTGCACTTATAAAAACTGGACAAACCGAACAGAGGCTAGGTCAAGTGGAGCGTGATTTCATTGCAAATACTGGGATGTGCTTCATTCAACCTTTACGCAAGTAAGGACATCAGGTAAAGTTTGAATTAAAAGCAACGTTCTAAATGTCTTGATTTTCTTTAGGTTTCTCGATGGAGAAATGAGAACTATCACCAAAGAAAAAGGAATTCTGGAGACGAAAAGATTAGATTTGGATGCATGTAAATCGAGAGTACGGAAAGCCCGATCTATGATAGGTCAACAAGCTGTAAGTGCTTTGTGACATTTTGGACACAGCCATAAATAAATCCTTTGATTAAAAATCACAATTAACTAAAAATAACAACTCATATTCGGTTATTTATTACGTGTATCCCTTTAATCTTATTTTCATGCATATTTGTGGGTGATTAACTCACAGAAAGATGGAGTAAGTCCCGAACAAATGCTCGAGCAGGTACCGACTTCATTTTACTAAAACTCTCTTATTCAACTGTCAACATTAATTGTGTGAAATTGATGAAATGAAAAATTAATTTTCATTATTATTTAGGCGGAACGTGAACTCAGAGTAGCTCAATCAGAATTTGATCGTCAAGCTGAAATAACAAAATTGCTTCTGGAAGGCGTTGGATCTACTCAAGCAACACATTTACGTTATTTACACGCCTTCGTGGAATCGCAAGTTCGTTACTTCTCTCAATGTAACAAAATCATGAATGAATTGCAGAAAGAATTATCAAGGTGAGATTAAAACAAAGAGAAATATTTGATTGCGTGTCGAAAGCTGTTTTTGGATTGAGATTTTTTTAAAGCTCATCCTAAACATCAACCTTAATTTAAATGATTTGATTTGTTGTTAAATTAATCAACGTTGTTCCTTGAGTTGGTTGTAAGCTTTTTTCCTTCAACTTTTGTTTTTGAAAGAAAACAAACCAGTTTTACGAACTTTTCACCTTCTGAGCTTTAATCAGAAAAGAATAATATAAAAAGATCTTAACAAACGGAATCCAATGAAAATTTAACTTTTCAGCACACGACCTTCAACTCCCCGACTGAGAATTAATAGTGAAGATGTGGAAATAACTGAGAACACTGAAGATTGGGGCTCCGTTTGTCCTCACATTGAAACCGTTGACATCACAAGAGTTTAGAAGTTCTTTTGCTTCTTTCTTTCTCTTTTTTTCGAATATCTATATCAATGTCGCTTGATGTTCAGTTGTTTGATCTGCAATTTTAAAAACTTACTGTTACTTCCAATTGAATTAACATCTACTAAATGTCACTATAAATATATTAATATAGCTAGAAATATAAAATATTTAGTTGCACACATTCAAAGCCTTTTTTAATCTCTTTCTGTGGTGCCGAGCTTTCTGTGCTTTTTGAAAACAAAGGAAAATCTTTCCAAAGAAAATGCTTAAAAGCTTGGGGAAATTAGAAGAATGAGATATTCGGCATATGACAGATAATCACGAAATTTTTTCAAAATTGATTAGATACACACAATTGCCTTGAAACAAATATTAAAAAAAAGTTTTTAAAAAGAAATCATAAAACAAACATTTTCATAAACTAGTTTGGGAGGCGATGGTCCAAAATATGAAGTTATGTGCGTCGACGATGAAATAGATTCAAATCGAAACGATATTCAAACGGAACCACTCAATTATCAACGGGCCAGAGTTTTATGTTCTTATGATGCTAAGGATAATTTAGAATTAAATCTCATCGCCAATGAGGTAATTTCACTTGTCATCTTCACCTTTTACTTAGATTATTGTTGCTGATTTGTCAAATTTTATTTCCGATATCAGGTGATTTTTGTAGCAGAATGTACTCCACTAAATAGTGATTACATGCATGGTAAGCAAGGGTTATTGAAAGGACTCGTACCAAAAGCTTTTCTGGAAATAATGGACGATTAAACAGAACCATCAATTTAACATGAGAGATAATTTGACCTTCTTTGAAAATTCAAGTCAATTTGTTCCTTTTGAAATATGTGAATTTGAAGCTAACAGCAATTTAATATTAAAAATAAGGCTTTGTTGCATCAGATATACATAAATATGCGATTACCATGAAAATATGAATCAATTTTATGCTTCAACAAGCACGTTGAAATTTGTCGTTAAAAATTTTGCTAATTCAGTACAATTAAATGAAAAGATTGAAAACTTTTTCTCAATCATCAACATGGATATTTATGTATGAGAAATAAACTCACTTATGACTTCTCTCATTGAATTCTTGAAAATCATTCTCATTTTTTTAATGTGAATCAATTGAAACGATTGGCACAAAACATCAAACTTCCTTCTCATAAATGTACCTTTCTAAAATTTAAATTAACTTACCATTCCGAGTATTCTAAAGAAAGATAAACGATTAAGAAACATTCAATGATCTAATTATCATTCAGCACTTGTTTTTTGAGAACTTATGTTTTATAATGATCTATTTAAATTCCTCTATAGAATAAAAGTTATAAAAAATTGCTATAATTAGATTATTCCTTCAATCATTATTTGAATTTCTCATAAAAAATATTAAATAGGTACTTATCGATATATTTACAATGTTGCGAATCTGAAAAATATTTGATCGCAAAAAAAATGACAAATAAGTAGAATTATTGAAAGAAGGTAGCATTAAAGAATGCTTCGTAGATTAGATTCTATTTAAAAAGATGTAGGAATCTTTAATCAAAACTAGATTAAAGCAATGAAAATGCATTTCACTTAATTACCTATCTGATACGGTTTAGAAAATTAATATTGTCAATTAATCTTTATCTTATCTGAAACAGAACGAAACACACTTTAATAAATTTACTGAATGAGATAAATAAAAACAAGTAAATTGAAAATCTTACTCGATATTAGAAGTTGGAAATAAATTCATTTAACTGAAGAAGTTGGCATGCTGTCATATATCTAAATATTATCTCTTACCTTAATAAACCTTTAAATCAACCAACGAATGTAGCAAACAAAAAAACAAATAAAAAAGTTCAAAAGAGACTAAATGAGTTGTATGCTTTTTATTGTATTTCAGAAATCATCCGTTTACCATTTTCATTTATACATTTCCAGAACTATCATAACTTGTAACTTTGAATATTTTTCTCTTTCTGATTGTTGTTGTTGTATTAGATTCATTCCATTTTACGATTGTCGAAATATTTAATACACAACAAATCAGACTCGAGTGTTTGAAGTAATGAATGGAGTTGGGAGAAGAAAATATAATTCAAAAAAAGGCAGGAGAATAAAATTCATGATTTAAAAGCTTTCGTTGAGCTTTGATTATTTGCGGAATTTTTTCTCTTCACCAAGCTGCTTACGTATAATTGCATTGCGCATAATCTCTGATGTATGTTGTTGAAGCTGTTCTTGTGACGGAATCATTCCAGGCTGATAAGCATGTGGTGGAACTGATGATTGACCTAACATAAAAGGAGGAAAAGGTTTCTGAAAATTTGGACTTCCAGCACCCATTGACAAAACATTTGTTCCTGACATCTGTGAAACTGCTGGCATTTTGAAACGATTATTTTCATTATGACTCGATGATGGTTTTGGCATCTCCTGATGACTCAAATTTCCCATTTTCACATTCATTGCATTTTCGACATCAGTAATTGTTATCATCTGAGCTTCGCTTTTAATTTTCGCGTAATTCACATTTTCTTGTTGAAAAGTTGATAAATTTTTCTTCCACATTTCAAAGAATGGATTAATGTGAGCTGCAGACTCTGCCTCACTTTTAGCACTTTGATTCACATCATTTCGCTGCATTACTGGTTGTGCTTTTGTTGATAAGAAAAAAAAAGTTATGTTAATTAAAACGTAAGAATTTATGGCTTACTTTTGAAATGATGCATTGCCTGACGATTATGAGTGGTGTTGTAAAAACCAGAGCTGGTGAGATTACTTTTTGCATAGTTCGATGGCTTTGAAATGGAAGTACGATTGGAACGCTGTTGATGTTGATTAAATTGATCATGCTGAGTTGTACGACGATAAACTGGAACTGACGGACATCCTTCTGTCCTAGCAGCACCTTGAAAGTCCTCAAATTTTGTTTTAGTCGGACTACATTTCTGCGAAGAACTCTGACTGGTAGCTTTTGACTCATTACTCTTGTTTAACTCTTCGTCTTCTTCAAATCCATGCAAATCTATAACATCATTTCGGGACGCCGGCCATGAGAACCATTCAGGTTCTGATTCCATGTTTCCATTATCGGATTTATCATCTGCACTCATCAATTTATTCGAAAATCCACTTTCATCTTTTTCTGAAGATTTATTTAAGGAATCATCACATGACGACTTAGATTCACTGTAGGTGGAAATGCTCCCAATGGAATGATTTCCTGGATGGTAATTAAATCGCTCATTCGAACAAGAGTTGATTTTAGCACTTCGAATATCTTGCAAAGGTTGCCGAACCTTCTTGTTGTCTAACCATCCAGATCCGACACGTGATGTTCGTAATCCTGAAGCTGTGGTTGTGATGTTATCAAAAAAATTCCTGCAATTTATACAAAGAAAATTATTTATTCACAAAATAAAGAATCACTGAAGAAAAGGCATTACTTGCGATCATATGGAAGTTCCTCATTGTGATTATCGAAATATGGTTTTTCGTCAATCCATGAAACGTTTCTGCTGTTAGGCATTTGATTATTATTGCGTTGTGATTGCCGTAAATTATTGATATCTGTAAGAATTGAAATAGAAAACATGCTGATATAAAGTATTCGTTGTTTACTTTACCATTAATTTTGCCTCCGGTATAATTTTGAAAACATGGTAACAACAGAGATCTGTGGTAGTTATTTAATAAATCCAATAACTTGGGATCAAAACTGCTCATAGACAGTCTGGGAAGTAATCCTCGAAATGCTTTCATTTGGTTTTCGTACTCTTCAGGATGAACTTGTTTATATTTGAGAATATTTAAGCGAATAATTCTTGGATCATAAAGACATGAAGGCGGTGATTGTGCAGAAAATGTGGACTTGAGTGACATTAATTCGTCCTTATCATATCGAGTCACATTGTTTGGCGATGAATAATACATAACGGCGGGATCAATTCTTTTAAGATCGACTTTTTGAGATGAAATCTTGAGTATTGAATCTATTTAAACAGAATTAAATAAAGAATAACTATGAAACTTGGTACTCAATGAGTAAAATAAAAATGTGAGGTTAAGTTTTTCTTTAAATTAATTTTCATTGAGAACAAAAGAAATAAAACATGTTACCTTCTTTAACGTGATTATTCCTTGTTTTTGCTTCAATTTCTTCACAAGAGAATACAATTTTCTTTTTGTTAGTACCAACGTTAGGATCTAAATTTGTCTCTTTTCTTTGGTCACCAGTTTTTCCTTCCGAAGTATTATTTACCATTTCCCTATCTCATACAACAATAACAAAGAAAATCAACTTTTTTACTTGGGAAATTAACACGTTTCTTAAAATTTACCCTTTTTAATGCAAATAGCTTAAAAAAGTCATACGAGAAAAAATGGAGGAGGTAGAAGTAGGTAGATATAGGAAGTGATGTAACAATTCCCATAACGCCCAACTTTCATATCAATCTTCACACAGACGTTAAATCTTTTATCGATAAAAATGAATTTATTCAAATATACCTCATCATCGTCATCAAGTCTCGGACGAGTTTCTACTTATGAGAGACTCCACATGATTGCGTTAGCAATCATGTTGCATTGGACATTATGGTTGATAACAGTTAAACTGCTACAACCGCCCGTTATGCGTCCACTCAATGTCTAACAGAAGATAACATTAAGCTGAAGGAAGTAGCCTTTGTGCCTCTTTTTTTCAGTTAACATTTTTTATTTATCTGACAGCCTTTTGTCCTTTGTTTGTGCCTTAAGCATTTCTGCCTCAGGCGAGAGATGATTGAATTTGTCAATGACAAAGACAACCAACTCCCAGAGTTTCATTTGTAATGCGGTAAACCCATGGAAACGGCCGCAATGCAAGTGTTCCATTTTCAGCAGCGTTCTAAGTCTTTTGCATTCTCATTGCTCGCCTTGATACGAATATCAATTTGATGCAAAAGAATTTCAAGACCAGCCGACTGCTTAGATGAAACACTCGCTTCGGGCCGAAATATCTAAATTTCACCTTACCTCATTGACACCGGGAATCGAACCGGGAATCATATATATTGTGTTGTATATATTCTTTATTACCTTTAGGTATTTTATGATTTTATCAAACAATGAATATTAGTAGCTTTACCGGAATTACTCGTCCAGTGCTCGAGATTAATGAAATTAAAAATATTTTTCTTTTACAAAATCAATCATTAATTTCTCAATTTCTTTCTTTCTATCTGTTAAATTATCTTTATATTCTTCTTTGAAGTCGTTGTAGATTTTTATTCCTTTGAAAAAAAGTGAGTTTTGCGCAAAGTCGTTGTTGAAATTTGGTAACTGATAATGATTTCGTCTTCTCAAATTATGGCTCAGATATTCATCTCTTTTTCAACCTTGTTGGCAGATATGTGGGTGTATGTCCAATTTCTGTTCTGTAAATAAACTTTAATGTATTAAAAAATATTCTTTGTTTTACTGTTAACCATTTCAATGTTTCTATCATTTCTGATATATGTGTTCAATTCTGAGCTCAAATTTCTTATCGATGTTCGTAATTACTAATATATGGCTTATAGAAACGATCGCAGTGTAGCAAAGAGCGCTGAATATTATAAGCTTTTTAAAAAGTATAGAAATAAAGTTACAACAAAAGAACGTTTTCTACA